CCGATCCCGGCTTCCCCCGACCTCCGTCCCGCGACTTCCCTCCCCATCCCGACTTCCTTCCCCCCACTTCCTCCCATCGATCCCTACCTCTGTCCCCCGAACCCAGCTTCCCTCTCCGATCACATGTCTCCATCCCGACCTCTGCTTCCCCCCGATTGCGACCTCCCTGCCCTGATCCCGACCTTCCCTCCCTCCATCCCTGCTCTCCCCCGATTGTGACCTCCCCGACCCGATCCCGACCTTCCCTCCCTCGATCCCTGCCCCCCCCCAATTGCGACCTCCCTCCCCTGACGTCCTATTCCGACCTCCCTCCTCCGACCTCCCTCCGCCGACTTCCCAACCCATCCCGGCTTCCCTCCCCCTATTTCCCTCCATCGATCCCCACCTCTCTCCTCCCCCCCCCCCCCCCCCCCCCCCCCCCCGATCCACGCCGCCTACCACCAACCCTCCATCCCCGGCCTACCAACTGCAGCGTCAACACCCCCGCCCCCAATCAATCAATCAATCAATCAATCAATCAATCAATCAATCTACTTCCGTGCCGATTTCGATTGATTTGTTGATTGGTTGATTGGAAGATAGAAAGACGAAAGTAAGAGAAAGAAAGAAAGAAGGGAACAAAAAAACAAAAAAAGTGTGTGGGGAGAGAGAGATGCCTACCCGTGGATGCCGCTGGCCGTTCGGCAGATCCACATGCGTCCGCGGTAGAATAGGGACTGTGTGTGTGTGTGTGTGTGTGTGTGTGTGTGTGTGTGTGTGCGTGAGGGAGAGAGAGAGAGAAGAGAGAGAGAGAGAGAGTCTCTTTAGCCAGAACTTGGAAATATACGTCGTGACACTTTTTTTTTTTCCTTTTCTTTTTTCCTTTTCTTTTTTGGTGTGTTTGTGTGCGTGTGTGCGTGTGTGCGTGTGTGCGTGTGTGCGTTCGTGCGTGTGTGTGTGAGAGAGAGAGAGAGAGAACAGGTAAGTCTCCATCCTCGCGGCTGGCCTCATGGTACTTTGATCGATAGCATGAGCAAAATCGAATGAATCTCCCGCTAGAACATGGAAATATACACCGCCACACCTTTATTTTTCCTTCTTTTGTTGTTGTGATGGAAATTTACACCGCTACACTTTCTTTTCCCTTCTTTTTTTTGTGTGTGTGTTGTCATATTTGCTATACACTATGTACCGTGGGGTGCAGCCGCGGGGTGTCTCAAACAAACAAAAACAAGTGTATATTTCCATGTCCTAGCGGTAGATTCATTCGATTTTGCTCATCCTATCGATGAAAGTACCATGACGCCATCCACGACTTTGAGTGTCTCTCTCTCTCTCTCTCTCTCTCTCTCTCTCTCTCTCTCTCTCTCTCTCTCTCTCTCTCTCTCACACATACAGAAAGAAAGAGAGAGAGAGGGACACAGGGAGATCCCTTCTTCCTTTCACTGCTTTCCCGTCTTCTCCTCCTCTCGCCATCCCCCCTGCTTCCGCCTCCGCTCCCCCTTCACTGCCGCAGCGTAGCGGGTCCACTTGTACATAAAATTGGCGCGAAATACACCGTGCTCATTAGTGAGATTCCCGCCAACTTCCCTGAACGCCAGGCCCTAATTGCGGCCAGCTAATGCGCTTCCTCGGAACACCAGCGTATCATCTCGACGAATGCCAAACATGAGCGAGCGGCAGCAGCATGAGGAGGAGGAGGAGGAGGGAGGAGTAGGAGGAGGGAGGAGGAGGGAGGAGGAAGGAGGAAGAGGGAGGAGGAGGAGGAGGGG